CAGCCTGTTTGCTTGCCTGGCGCGGCTGAGTCACGTGACAGCCGGGAGCGGCAATCGAGAGCAGCAGCTCCTACACAGACAGCCGCAGTGCATTCAGGACAGAAATTGAAACTGAAGTATCGATCTCATGACGCTGTTATACACATGCGTGCTTCAATAGACAGGCAGTAGAAGCAGAGTACAAGGTTGCGCATGAACATGCTTTGTTTCTGTCTGATTGTTGCGTTTCAAAATCATGCAGAGGAAACCTCTGCTTTTCTCAGACATGTCCTGGAAATTGTAGCTTTTATGGACGCTACGTCGTTACTTGATCAAAAAAATAACGTAACTATTGGAAAGTTATTTGATTCAGAAATCAGCGACGCTACAGGCAAGCTACTAGAAAATGTAGTTAAACTAATAGCTTCGCTACATGTAGCGGTGCTACCGCCCATCACTGCTAATATTGAAATTTGGCTGAACAGCATCCAGACCTGTTAGAATCTTATATACCTGGATCATGTCCCCCCTTAGTCTCCTTTGCTTGAGGCTAAACAGATTCAGGTCAGCTAACCTCTCCTCATAAGACATTCCTCTGAGACCAGGAATCATTCTCGTAGCCCTACATTGCACCCTTTCCAAGGCAGCAATGTCCTTATTAAGGTATGGTGACCAAACCTGCAAACAATATTCTAGGTGGGGTTTTACCAAGAAATTCTATAATCGTAGCATCACCTCCCTTGACTTTAACTCCACACACCTAGAAATGTAACCCATTATCCTATTGCCCTTTTATGTTACTTCCCCACACTAGCGAGAGTGGGACATGGAAGCATCAACATACCGTGGTCTTTCTCATATTCAACTACCTTTATTTCAGTGGAATCCATAAAATATCAGTACTTTATATTTCTGCTCCCTACCGTACATTTATCTACGTTAAATTTCATCTGCCAGGTATCAGCCCAGTGACTAATTAAATCAAGTTCCCATTGTAGCCTCTGTGCTACTAATTTACTATCTGCTACATCACCCACCTTGGTGTTGTCTGCAAATTTAACCAGTTTACTGTATGTATCGGTGTCAATATTATTAATGTAAATTAGGAACAATAGTGGTCCTAAAATTGAACCCTGCGGTACCCCACTATGAACGCAGGCCCACTGTGACATTGTGCCTCTAATAACTACTTGCTGCTTCCTGTCTGTTAACCAGTTTTCCATCCAAGCTGCTACAGTTCCTAAAATCCCTGCACCTTTGAGCTTAAGCAAGAGCCGTTTGTGGGGGACAATATCAAAGGCCTTCTGGAAATCTAAGTAGATCACATTGTAGGCCTTTTTGTGATCAATTTCTCTTGTAGCTTCCTCACAGAACTCAAGTAGATTAGTTAAACAGGATCTACCTCTCCTAAATCCATGTTGGCTATCCCTCAGAATGTTATTTGAATCCAGGTAATCTACCATTTTCACTTGGATTATAGCTTCCATTACTTATCCAGTTATGCAAGTTAAACTGATTGGCCTATAGTTTTTCTGGATTACTTCTATCCCCTTTTTTGAATATGGGCATTATATTAGCATTCTTCCAATCTGAAGGTACCACACCAGCAGATAAGATTTCTGGAATAGTAAAGTTAAAGGTTGGCTAATAATATCCCTCATCTCTTTTAAAATTATAGGTAAGATGCCATCAGGGCCCTGCGATGTATTTATTTTGAAAATAATCATTAAGCTCATTTACTATATCAATTTCATTTTCAATTATAAGGCACTTACTATCCTGCAAAATAGTGCTTTCAGTTTAGAGCCCTTTTGGAGTTATAATATTGGAAAAAACTTTTAATGTCATCCTTTGCCTCCAATGCAATCTTCCTTTCTACATTCCTCTTAGCGAGTCTAATGTAATTTTTTAACTCAACCTATAGACTTAGATACTTCTGAAATCATTTTTTTTCCCATTTGTGGAACAGAGCCCTTTTCCGCCTGACTTTATGTTTATTGCATCAACCACTTACGTGTTTGCTTTGTAGGAAAATTGCAAGGGGGGCAGTTTGTGTCCCGTGACATCATACAGGTGGGACAACACCAGTCGTTCAAAGGATTTTATGGCTAAAAATGACAGTCCTGTAATGGAGGGTTTCTTGGGGACTGGAATGATGGTGTAATATTTGAAGCAGGAGGGGAATTCACAGAGCTCCAGGGACCAGTTGAAAATCTATACAGAGCTAGTTGGTCAGCACAGGCTTTAAGACAGTAGGGGGAGACTGAATCTGGACCCGGTGCTTTCCTGGAATTCATCTTCTTCATGTATTGTTAGTGCAGCCTGAGTATCAGGGGGTGGGGTTAGGGGGGTTTCCAGAGGTGTGGTACAGTAGGGGCTGTTGTCATTGGGCTGGAATCAGTAAGGGGTGTGAATTTCTTCCTGTAAACCTGTAGTAGACGCCATTTAGGTAATCTGCCAGGAATTTATTTGTCTCAGCAGTGAGGGTTGTCTTCTGTAATTTGCGATGTCTTGTAGACCACTCCACAGGGGTGCAAGGTCATTGTTTATTTTTTCTCCAAATATTCAGTGTAGCATTGTAAAAAAAAGTGGCTTTCAGTTTATGAAGTATCCAAGTTTGAGCTGCAGCATTTACTTAGCACTGTAAAATCTGTACACCAACCTTTTTTTAGTATAGAAGCAAATTCTGCCACTTTTCATTTTCCCTGATAGCCTTGTTATATGATTCGCTCTGTGTAGGTGAAACCCCGGCAGATGTAATCAACTGTCGGGGATGGATTCATTGAACCAGGTTGTCAGTGAAATAAAGGGTAGCAGAACGTGCAAAGTCCTTGTTTGCTCCTTACCCAACAGAATGGATGAGCTGCTTCTCCTCAACTGGACAAAGATTCGCTAGGTGAATCGATGGGAGGGCAGTACAAAATCCCTGCTGATGGAGCTTCACTAGCACACCAGAGTGTTTTCCCTTGTCTGCGTTTTCTCCATGTCCCACAGAGAGCCACTATTCCTCCAACTAAAATCTCTAAAAAAAACTTTCTGTGTTTGTGAAAACTGGTAAAAAAAGTTTCTGGAGTGAATTGCCTGATGTTAAGCAGTTCTCTAGTGAAAGTCATTGGGTTTTACTAACCAAACACACAAGAAGGAACAAAAACAAGAAAATACTGGTGAGTGGTGGGCTGAAGATGCCATTTGTGGCGCCATCTTGGTTCATATCCTGATATAAATGAAAAATCATAAACAGGTCTTTCACTTTATTCATCTGTATGTGGGCTTTGAAGGTAGTAACTCAGAATCAATTTCAAAGTCAAATTCCTTAGTAATAAGTTACGTTCCAGACCCATCAGCGATAGGTGAACATTTGCAATATAGAAAGACCATATAAATAAACATTTTTTTAATAGTTTGTCTTAAAATACTGCTCCCACATGCTTTAAAAGCAATAGGTGAAAATCCGCGATACAGAACTGTAGAACTGTAAAGCGAAACTCTTGTCTACTGTAGTGTACAATGTATGTATATTTAATGATTTACTGTAATGCTTAAATGTTCATTTTTTATATATATATATTCACTTTTTACTGCATTTTAGTCAATATTACAGTTATGTTATAGTTATTATAAATTTATAATACGTATTGTTCTAACAAACTCTTGTCTGGCATGCGTAGTGACAAATGAAAAGCGTATGTACACGTTGGATGGCTGTAGTATCCTGGTGGTAGGCTCAAATGCATCACAGGTTTGTTATTTGGACAGCCTGTTTTGCCATCACGGGTAGGTATTTTATCCACCATTATTATGGAGTATAATTTTTATTTTATCATTCAGCCTCCTAACAGCAGGAGCGACATGCAACCTGCCATTCCAGGTACTGGTTCCAGGGTAACAAAGCATATAGTATTTCTCCCAAGAGAAAGGCGGTGTTCCATCATTAACAGTGGGGCTGATGAGGATGTATTTGTGTGGATTGAGGATGTTAAGGGTAGTTTGCAGGCATGTCATATAAATCCTGTAGAGGATACCCTGTTTATCCTTGATCATTTGGGGGGTTTAATGAAGCGGGAGGTTTAGCTTAGACCCCCAGCAGACAGGGAAGATCCGACCAGAGTGTTTGCTGTTTTGAAGGAGTTATATGGGTCCTCCTAGTCATATATTTCCCTTCAGGAGAAATTCTTTTCCTTTAGACAAGGGGAAATAGAGTTACTATATGACTTCACACACAGTCTTCTAGCCTGGATGGAGCAAATTATACAACTTGCTCTCAGTGGGACGTTAGATTTTACTACACTGCTGCCGGACCCGCTATGGCTGTTAGAACCCATGATGTGCTGCCTTCATAAGCATCTTACCCTGTAGCTTCCACCAAAATGGTTTCCTTGAACGCAGATGCCCCCAGTGTTATACTGGTAAGCCCTAACAAGTCTTCCCCCTCATCTAGTTCCCCAGTTGAACCCAGGATAGCCCTTGTAGGTCTTGTCCCAAATTCAGGTTCAGCATCAATAAAGTGTCCTCCACCCAACAAGGCCAAAGGGTTGTGGCAGACCACTCGGATCACAGTGCTGGACGGCATTTGAACTCGTATCACTTGCGAAGAACTGCTACCATTGTTCGTATCATCTGGGTTTTTCTGGGCCCGGTGGGCCTGCCACCCTTTGGTCCTGCTCAGGCTGTTTTAGGGCCTGTGTTTAGGTGGTGCCTTACACTGTATCACTGGGACGATAATAGAAAACCTGGGGGCAGAGGAAACATCACAGATTAACTGTCATTTGAAAAATGTGCCAAAGCAATAATATCTCTAACACTGTAATATCAGAAGCATAATGATACAAGTACACAATGCATTGACCAGTAGTTTAACTGCAATTTATAAAGTTTAATTGACCTGTATATTGTTTTTTGTTTTGAATGCAGTTTGTGCACTCAGGAAATCACAGAACAGCCTTTGAATGTTTTCAGACTGCAGCATTTCTTGGTCTGATCAATTCAATGTGTTACAACAGCAGTGTCTCTGTTTTTCACAGGTGGCAGATGATGGTTACGGGGTGGCCTACATCATTTTAGGAGAAAACATGATAAATTTTCACATCTCCTCCAAGCATTCCTGCTCGCAAACTGTAAGCTTGAACGTGCAGTAAATGGAAGCTTTATGCACAAAGTTCTGCAAAAGCTCTTGAATATGATGCATTTTCATTTGTATCCAGCAAAAATGAAAATAATATAAAAAAAAATACTGAATAGAACGATGATAGATGTAACTTCTCATAAATATTGGTGTAAACTGTAGAAGCAGATTACTAAATGATGTTTGTCTGAATCGAAGTATAAAAAAATCTGCAGTAACCTTGTTCTTTTTTTTTTTTTTTTGTTTTTTTTTAATTTTTTATTTTTTTTATTAAGGATTCTCGTCAGTTTGGTGCCCAAATTGGAAAAGCTCTTTTGGACCTTCTGTCACTGCTCAGTTTTGACCAAAGAGCACCAGCCAAAACAAGGAACACAGAGGCAAAGAAAACAATGTAAAGGAATCGATATGGAGCCATAAAACAGCTGAGATGGCAAAATCAAAGGAGAAGACCGGGGGGGTGATTATTGGTGATTAATGCAGTGGGACGGGGACTTTAACGAAATCGACTGGGTGAAGCCATTCAGGCCTGGGGATCCAATGGAACCATGTGACACAGTATTGGGGAAACTGGACAAGAAACATAATGGTCATTGTGTCCCGTTTTTCAGGGTTTAAGTACAGGCCAGCAATGGGTCAATAACAGAAACCTGTCCCGAGGAAAAATGAGCAGAAAGTTGTGTAAAGCAGCTGTGAAAAGGGGTGAGCAGATAAAACACATGTTAGGTAGGAGAGAGACAGCCAGCACCCCTGAGAAGGTGTTATGCAGCTTGATCACTTGGAAGCCCCAGGGGGCTGATGTTTGATGGAAGCAGAGCTGCTTCAGTTTCCAATTGTAAAAGCGTGCCAGGAGAAAACCGCAAGTGGGACAAGTGGAGGGACCCTGCGGTCGTAAGGAAACAGGGTGGGAAATCAAGATGAGAGGGCAGAAATGGAGACACATGAGGAAAGACATGCAGGACGAAATGAAACCTACATTTTCAAACTTCTTTTGTTTTGCTTACTGGAAGCCATATATAGACCACGCACATGAATAGCCCATGCTGTTAGACACAGTTACTACAGTGAACCATACATTTTAAAGGATTAGATGTGTAACCTTACTTATAGTGTGGCATTCCTTGGAATTCTTAAATGTTTACCATCAGTTTTGGTAATAATGCAATTTTACACATTGCTGACTTTGATTCTGGTTCCATATGTTTATGATTGTTTCCTTCCATGATTATTCCGTGGTGGTTATCACCATGAGAAATGTCAGGCGTATTACACAGGCCTCAGTGTTTCAGTCCTGCTCAGTAGTCACATAGAATAATACCAGCTTGCTTTTTTTTCTCCTCCCAGAGCAAGAAAATGAAAGAACTATAGGAACAATGATCTCTTCTTTCCACTCATTTTAAGCGTTTTTATACCCAATTAATTGACATTTTCAATTTTATGAAGAATTAATAGTAGTTTAAGAATGCTCATCATGTTGTATATAAGTGATTAATAATCATAAAGGTATACATAAGCAGCGGTTTTATATGGCAGTTGTTTTATGTTATCTTAATACTGAAAGTTAAGTCATCAGTGGGGAGAACAAGCTTCAATAACAGAGACCTCAAGAGCAGCTATTCTTTTTCAGGACAGTTATGTGCATGTTTTCTGTTGTTAGAGGGTTGATGAAAAGCTCACTATAAGGGATTTTCCACTTCTCTGAATGGACAAAGTCACTTCATGGAGCTGTACAGATACTGTGCATACTTGGGTTGATGTTTATATTTTATTTCATTATTTTAGATATTGTAGACTTTGGTCAGTTAAATGCAAAAGAAGCTTCTAGTAGTTTCTGGAAACGTGTTTATGCTCACTGCGCATTTTTAGCCATTCTATCGATTGCGCGTGTCCCACTGCTGCTACTTTTCTGCATTATGCCTACATGTATGTTTTTTCCCTTTTTATAATTTAACTCAATATTTTCTTCACAACTTTCACTATTAGGATGGAAACTGATTATTATTTTTTTTTTTTAATTAAAACTTGTCTTTTACAAATCCTCTCACAGTTAAAAAAATTTGCTAAGGTTAATTGAATCAGTGACTCTTGTTCTTTTTATTCTCCTTACAAAGCTTTAAAAATATATTTAGTGTCTACCTATATATATTAGGGCTGTCAAAATTAACGGGTTAACGTGGATTAATCCATCATCATGATTAATCTGATTAATATTTTTAACGCAATTAACCCATCTGCAGCACAGAATGACTCAAAATCCCCGAAATGTCTCTGTCAACCCATTTCGGGCAGTTTTGGTGCGTTCCATTTGCCCTCGGAACTTGTATTCCGAGTCGGATTCTGGAGTTTTGAAGCCGGAAGTGATAACATGCGCACTCCCGTTTCTCGGAGATTCGAGAAATATCTCAGAGTAGTGATGGGATTCATGGCTCTTTGAGGGGATCCGGATCTTGGCGATCCGTTCCTTTCAAAGAGCCGTTCAAAAGAACTCTTTTGGCTCTATTTAAATATTTAGTCAGTTTTAAGAAGCCAGCTTGGGGGCATCTCAGTTTATCCTGGAAATAATCACTGGGAGGAATGATGAGGTGAGATTTGTAGTCAAATAATTAAAACTCAGATANGCATTATGCCTACATGTATGTTTTTTCCCTTTTTATAATTTAACTCAATATTTTCTTCACAACTTTCACTATTAGGATGGAAACTGATTATTATTATTATTATTTTAATTAAAACTTGTCTTTTACAAATCCTCTCACAGTTAAAAAATGTGCTAAGGTTAATTGAAGCTGTCGAAAAGCCTGTGGGTGTGACTGTGTATGTGTATGTCTGCCCTGCAATGGGTTGGTGTCCCATCCTGGGTTGTTTCATGCCTTGCGTCAGTAGCTTCCAGAGTAGACTCCAGACCTACATGACCCTGCATATAAAAAACAGATTCAAGGAAAAATGTTGGGTATAAAAAAAATAGATGGATGGATCTTTCACAAATAAAAGGAACACCAAGAGACATCCTCGTTGTTGTAGTTGATTCCCTGTGTTTATGTTTCTTATATGGCAGGACTCAGATTCCAAGCACATCTTGATGGAGGATTTCAGTTAAAATGAACGTGGTATAGAAAACTGATGAGAGGAAATATGAGAATGATAGACAGACCAATGTGGTGACTGTAGTTTTGTGGGCACTGTGGAGATCTGTGGTAGTACAACACGAGTAAAGCTATAAGGTGATGTTCACGGTTTATCAGTCAATATATGTCCCTATCTTCATCTATGGTCATGACCTGTGTGCATAGTGACCAGAAATCAAGGTTGCACGTTCAAGATGCCAAAATGAGGTTTCTCTGCAAGCTTGCAGGATTCCCTCCCTATGACAAGGTAAGAATTTTGGAAATGCAGAAGGACCTCCATCCAGGGACGAATTATGGGTTGTGTGGGCCCCTGGGCAAAACGTTCGCGAGGGCCCACCACCACCACCACCAGCACCACCACCACAACCACCACAATTCAAGGGCCCTTGGCAGCCAAACGCCCTCGCTCCATGTGTCCATCAGAGGCCCTATAGGGTCAGGGGCCCTTGTAGGCAGAGGATTAAAGAATGTAGGCCCTCTAAAATAGACAAACAAAAATACATTGTTGATAAGCGTTGCAAATTGTTTTGGGCTAGGGGCCCCATGGGCCCCCTGCACCCCAAGGGCCCCTGGGCAGCGGCCCCGCTGGCCCGGTCCGTAATCCGTCCCTGCCTCCATCAGGTCCAGAGTCGTCAGATGAAGCGGTGTGGTCATATAAAGATTTGTCTTGGTTCCAAAGTGAGCTGAGTACCTCCCACTGGGCATAGGCTCTGGGAAACACTCAGGAAACACAGGAAATTATATCATACTTAGGAATATTTTGGGATTTTCCACAATGAGCTAGTGTCCATATGAACTGGATGTTATGCTGTCAGGACAGCCAACATCTATGTGACACAAAGGTAAAGTATTTTCAATCACAGTGGATTGTGTAGGTTCCTAGTGGTGGTGTTTTTCTGCCCAGAATGATATTTGTAAGTGATCATCCTGTAAGTCAGCATATGCAAAACAGTGCACCAAACTTTCAGAATGACTCATGAATGTATTACACAAATTGTTGTAATAGAGCAGTGTAGTATTTTTGGTTACACAGCACATGCCTTTGTTGTCATTTTATTTGTGTGTTATACAGTGCTGTGACTCCTCTTTTTTTATTAATCTGCTGTATTGAACTGTCTAATGAGACTTCAGTGCAGACGTGTATTAATGCTTTTTCTTACCAGTGACCTTCACATACTGTAACATAGAGCCTTGCAATGTTGAATCTGGTGTCTCAAAATGAATAAAAAACAGCTTGCTAAAGAAACATGTTTAGTCAGTATCAATGAGAAGGTCAGAATTGTGGAGATCAGGGGCATATTTAAACTGCCATTTTCATAATATGTCTAAGCATGTTGTGTTTTGATTTGATGATGGTACTTTTAATTTTGGTGGCACAAACTTCATTCATAGAATCTTTTGATTTTGAGGCATGACTTAATTGTTTTGGCTCAGTTATGGCTGTTGCTAGGTTAACCATCCTGTTAAGGCTTGAGGCCTGTTATAGAAGAGCACTTTCTGTGTTTAGACTAATTCAGAAACATTTCCCTATTCACCCCGCATTACAGAGTAGTTATTAAGGCATTTTGCTGCATTCCTCTTTGTTCTTACATTCGCCCATCCCTTACATTGAATGAATTAATTATGTGTGTTGTTAAACACAGATATCAAATTATTGTAGTAATCCCATGTTAAGCACAAATTGTAATTTACGAATGTTAAATTGAGACTGTTACTCTAGGAAACTAATGACTACTTAAACCGATTTAGAATTACTATGTACCGATGTGAATAATCAACATGTACGATGTATTTTTAATTATGGATTAATTTATGGATCATATGATGTGTAAACCTGCAGATTGCGATGTCATGTTTGGTGTCAAATTGACAGAGAAATCCTTATAATCTGAACTTAATAATGGCTTATCACAAAATTGGATGTATCTAAGGTTAAATACTTTACTCAAAATTAGCTCCAAAGTTTCTCCACTATACAGTCGTAAATCCATTGGACCGCTGTACACACCCCTAGACCAGGACTCCGGTCGGATGCCCCAGATCATTGGTCCGAGTGTCAAATTCCAAATGATCGATATTCGTAGACTTTAGAATTTAAAATCACACACTTCAGATTCATACAGGGGGGTGGAGCAGAACCGAAAGATACCTGCGTGTAGACCAGCCACCGCGAACGGGGGGAGGGAAGATGACCGCAAACTACAAAGAAACATCGGAAATGACTAAGAACCGCTCCAGACCTCGCTCCCCCCCCCAAATGAAACTCCATCTCTTGATCATCTCATTCTCCCCATACAAGCTTCCAGAGATTCATCTGCAACCACGTAAACTCCCTGTCATTCACTTGCTAATCCAACCAATGTCAGCATTATATAATTAGCAGTTTTAATTGGATATTATGCTACACAATAGGCTATACAATAAAGAAACTGCTAAGCTGGATCTGCACATTAATGCAGTAAAGTAAATATTGTGGACAGACTAAGGCAGCTACATATGATTCTCTAGACCAGGGGTCACCAACATGGTTCCCCCAAGGACCACGAGTCGCCCGCAGACCTGTTCTAAAAATAGCACAACTAACTAGTGAGCAGCTTCTAAAATTTAATTTTATCCTGTTGCTATTCTTCTTTAATCACATTTGCATTTATATAGATTTGAAAATGACAATATCTAAAAAAAAAAAAAAAAGCATTTAAACATGTTTTTTATCCATGAGGTCTAGATAAGTGTAGAAGGGTTTTCAAACTGGTAGCCCTTCGTATGGCTCAGTACCCATGAAGTAGCTCTCAGTTTCAAAAAGGTTGGTGACCCCTGCTCTAGACTGAAAAAATAATAATAATCAGATGACAGAAATCAATAATACCTGGTTTCACACCCACAGTGGAACGACCCAGAATGCAGGCTGTGCAGGGGCGGCAAAGGCCTCATCTGGGCCGGATGCTAGTTGAACAGCATAGGGTCGGGCACTTGCGGAGGCGCAAAGACCTCACCAGGCCTGGGTGTTAGCAGCTGAGCAGCCCCTTCCAGGCTGGACACTAGTGGCTCAGTGGCTTCCTCCAGGCTGGGTGCTAGTGCAGCAGTGGCGGCCTCATCAGAGCAGGGCGTCTGCGGAGCAGTGGCAGCCGAGTCTTAAACATTTTTAGGGAGTCTCTGACGTAACAATGACTGGACTGAGAGACACTAATATACAAGACTAATGAGGGAGAAAACACAAGGCAAAGTCCTTGTTTGCTCCTTACCCAACAGAATGGATGAGCTGCTTCTCCTCAACTGGACAAAGATTCGCTAGGTGAATCGATGGGAGTGCAGTACAAAATCCCTGCTGATGGAGCTTCACTAGCACACCAGCGTGTTTCCCC